AAACTGTCCCGGGACAGTCTCATGGAGTTATCCCCTTCCTTCTTCATTCACTATCAACTGGAACTCTGTCCATGTGCAGATCTGAAAGAAGACTGAAGAATGGATGTGATGATTTTCACAGCCAGACTGATGCAATACATAACAAAAGTGACAAGATGGGCAACTTGAGGATCAGTTGGACTTTCCTATATGCACACAAGTTTGATTGGAAACTACTTTAACCTCATGTCGACCAAGTTTAAACTTCAGTCCCTAAACATTATTGGCAAAGCAACTATATTCACGCTATGCTAGTTTTATTAGTAACTAGAATGCAAGCACTACATTGGTGAAAACGAAAATGGTCATCATTTATTCACCCTCCTGAATCTCAAAACTCTTAGGATTAACTTTCATTGTATGGAAAACGACGTTGTTTCTCCCTTAGTGTCATACGAGTTTTGAAGGGTTCCCAGCTAACATGAACATTTCTCAGAGATGTAGCAAACGGTCTGGCCATGTTCTCTCGAAGTTACGAGCAAACATTCTTCCAGTAACGCTAACGTTCAACGTTATCTGGTCTTTAATAACGTTTTCCTGAAATGTTTTAGTTGGACCTTACGTTACTACTTGCAACTGAATGTTCAGAAAACATTCAAAAGTAACATTCCCATGTTGGCAAAATTATCAAATGTAAAATTCCCGCAACGTTCGGATAACCAAGTAAAAACGCTCATAAAACGTTTAATAAACGCTTCCCAAAAGCAATCGTGAGCCTAAGTTTGTTTGTGGAGACCATTGCCACGAGTGTTCAATGTGCTTTTGGGAAACGTAAGTTAGGCCTGGATGTTTTGAACTTTCAGAGAACATTCACAAATAACGTTTTTAAAGCGTAACGAGAACTTTACAAAAACGTTCTTTTTGGTTACACTTTCTTTTAAGGTGTCATTGTTACAGTGTAATTATATATTTAAGTAACGTTACCGAGTACAACATGCACTGATTGTTAGTTGCGTGTAATTATGCATAATTTACTGTTAGCACTATGGTAACATGTGTAACGAGGACACTGTAAAATAAAGTGTTGGCCGTATTTTTGTTAGCTGAGTGAGTAACGTTAACGCTATACGATGATGATAATGATGACAGAAACTTCATTTTAAAGTGCCTGGTTCAGTGAAGTGTTGACAGCTGCGTTACACACATGGCGCATGAATAGGTCTATGGTAGTGCTTCATAAGAGTGTGTGAGAAGAGTTTGGGATCAGGCCTGCTGCTGCTGGACTTTTACCTGGTGCGTCTGGAGCAGGTGCTGTCAGCTTCGCTCGCTTTGCGCTTGAAGGACCAACATCGAGCACATTTTCAGCCATTGCGATTAAGAATTGCTTCTGGCCGAATGTTGTGGGGGGGGAAATGCAAAGTGAAGGATCCTTTCGTCAGAAGAACAGATGTTACCTTACTTTTGCAAGACGTGGGGAGTGTGGAGCGGCTCGGCGGAGGATTTTCTCAAAAAAGCAGCAACAGCGCCCCGCGTCGCCACCACCATTCACCCCATGATAATCCAACACCCAACACCCACATTATCATCGTTATATTGCCGAGAGAAAACGCCTCCTTTCCGCCAATTCAACGTAAAATCCCAAATAAAATATCCACAGGAATCCTCGCGCACGAGCGTCGTTAGTTTTGCAACGGAATGCGATCCATTTTCTGACATTAATTTTTTTCGTGCAAAAACATTCTGGCTCCGTGTAATAATGCACGGTTGCATGAAAATGAGATATTTGTGCAAAATAGTCCCCTCGGCGCTGTCTGTCCTCCAAAAGCGTCCGGTAAACAATCCCCGCTCCGAGCGAAATACAGACGCAAGCGTCGCTCTGAAGGGGAAATCAGATATGCGAGGGTTTCGTGGCCGACGAACGCCGATTAAATCCAGGATTTTTCGCCAAAAATTCCTTCGCGGCGATATAAAGGTGTCATTTTCCACTGAACGGTGTCGTCAAACCTCGGTTTGGATACTCCGTGTTCAAAAATAAAAATTAGTGCTCTATCGAAATCCTGATTCCGAGCCGCGACAAGATGGCGGCTGTTGATTCCTTCGATACAAAAAGTTTTTTTTTCTTTTTCCAGATAGACGGAGCCGAGGGGGAGGGGGAGCGCGAGCGCAATCACGCCCTACGTCAAACCTGCCGTGTGCGCGCAAAGCGGCCGCTGGAGGCAGCAGACGACCACAAATGAGTATCTGCGGCTCAAAAACTGTTAATTGCGTCAATAATCTTGTAGACAAAGTCATATTTGGGATAAGAAATTTAAGATAAATTAATAGTTTTAAATGCAGCCGATATTAGGTATCTAGTAGTTTGCAGTAAAACAACTCAAATTGCACTTGTACTAAAATCCAAATATATAAAATATGTTGAACAAGAATAAACAATGATATTGTGTCTGTCTTGTACTTATATATTTTTTGTTTTATATCTTCTGACCCACATAAATAGTACACGTGACACTTCTGATACTGAAGGGCCAATTTAAAAAATGTTCATAAGTAATAGTTAATAATAATAGTGAAGTGAATTTAAAGATATAAGAAATAGATATAGACCACCATATTTAATTTTTGACATGAATGAAAGTGAGGCTGTGAGTGATAGAAATAGGCCTTCAGTGCGTTCAATGGATTTGTAATGTAGTTTAACATGTCAACTGTTCAGCTGACAAAACTTTCCAAAGAAACTTTCAGTAGATTTACTTTCAGTAAAGCAGTTTTGAAAAATACATGATCTAGCACCTTTATACAGTACATATCATTATCATTTTTAACAATGCCTCATTTTCATCAATGTAAAACTCAATATAGTGTCACTGGTGAATAAATTTAAGTTTTACAGATATTCAACATGCGTATTAACTTTTTTTTCCCCAGCTGGCCCACACATAAAACAGACACACGCCATTTCTGATATCTTTTCATTGTTTCTCTACTCTCGAAATCTGGCACATGCACATGTAGCATCAATTTTGAAAAATAAAAATCAAATAAAACAATACATGATATGTACATACAAAGTGAGTGCACTGTGCAAATGTATACAGATTATGCTTTTTGCCTGAATATAATGGCTAATAAATCAATACCTGCTGTGTCTCATGTGCATAAAAAACAAATGATTGAAGAACATGTGCTGCTTGGAAAAAAAAAAAAATCTTGCCCACAATGCACAGATCTGTCTTGCAGCGTCTGCCCACACTATTACAATTCTTTGGTATACACATATTCCCACAAAAAAGCCACAAATAATTATTACACAGTTAATAAAAGCCAGTGAAATCATATTTAAGGGCACTTTTTTTTAACACTCTTGAGCACCAATACTTTAGATTAGATTTGCACTCTGTCTCTTAACCAATTAACATTTGTTACATTTCCATAAAAAATAAAAAAAATAAAAAAATGAAGCCGTGAATGCCATGTGACGATGTTAATTGGCAAAATAATAAAACCTACTAGGATGCAGGCAGTGGTGAGAAAGTGGAAACAATCACACATAAAACAAATTTAACATCACACTTTTCCATTTTAGCTCATTCAAAATATCCTAAAACTTTAGTAGAATTAAATCTGAGGCACTTTTTCGAGTTCAGGCCTTGAGGACTGAAATAGGTGCTTGTTACGTTAGGTGGGACTGGTCATAAAGACCCGTCCCCTCCCTGCTTTAAGTGGCTCCCTTTCATAAATATGCCCTTTTGATATTAGGCTCTGTGGCTGCACACCGATTCATGCACATCCCCAATAAATATGAATGCATTTAATACAAAACCACATACATTATGCACAAGTAATTATAATTCAATACTGTCAGCACTGGGGCTTCTTTAGCCAATGGAGTGATACAATAACTCAAAGGTGAATGTGTTGGCTGGAAAGCAGTGCACCATAAAACAATTAACAGCAAAAACAAATCCCTTTTCCATCCCGAAAAGTTCCATTTAAAGATACACAGTGTACATTGAAAAAAAAAGAAACAAAGACTGGAATTATAATTCACATCAAAGAGGAAATAATAATATGATACAATAACAATATTGCAGGTGTTCTGAAAGCTGATGCAACCTGGTATTAGAATTTAGGTGGGGGTAGTCAACAAAAAGGCACTGGATTTTATTCATATTTTGAGAACAAATTAGTGATTTCTCTGTAAACAAAACAAAGAACAAATTCTTTCCTCAACCTCAGAGCCCAGCTTATTCATTATACATGATGGCAGAAGATACCGATCCAACAGGACTTGCTGCTTATCTTGCTTTGCTCCATTGACTAATGTAAGACACATTGCAAGACATACTGCAGATTATTCTCTAGTGTTCTGAATGCATCGGAGACGAAAATCAGGTAAAGAAAAGCAAAGAAAATACCATTTTCTCTGCACAGTTGTGTTTGAAAAAAAAAAAAAAAACGCTCTAAACTGCTGTCTAATCCCAAAAGAATCGACACCAACAAATTAAATAAAAAAAATCTGGCTATAACATACATTTACTTCTACTTTCTTAGTAGATTTGATTTATACCAAAACTGCAACTCAAGCTGCTCGCCGACTATGGCAACACAAGAATCATTTTCCTCAAGGCCATGGAGTGAACAGGTATCATAAGTGCACGGTAATCAATAAGAACGATACCAACTCAGGCTCTGATATGAAAAAGTTTGAGGCACTGAATGAAATGATTTACAATGCACTGATTGGTAATTCAGCTACAAAACCTGTTCAACTGAATACTTCATTGAAGGCCTCATTGGCAGGAGTTCACTGGAAATATTTAGGGGAAAACAGTGCCACTCGTTCTGCTGTATATTGTAAGTGCCATGCTTGAAAGTTTATTAATTTAGCTTTGAATCCTGTAGTAGGACATTCCCTTACATGCCACAATTGTGCTAAGAAATGAGGGATAAGGACCTGTCAGGCAATGAGAAACAAATTATAAGGCCAACATTTTTGTATGCAAAAAAATGCATTGAACACAACATGTTTACAACGAACATTACACTCTGAATTTCTGAATGCATTACAAATCACCAGCCCTTGTGTCCTCTAATGAAGTGGAGAGATCGCACAGCATGGTTTCTGCCATCTTTCTTGATTGCGTTTCAAACAAATAAGGCTGATTGTGCCGTTTTTCTCATTTCATGAGTTTAGGGTGCTATTGTGCGTGAGACACTTTTACCTTCTATTGATAAAAGCTACATTATTTGCTGCCAGATATATTAGATATTAATATGGGCATTGTGGACAGAAGTGCCGGAAGCCCATCTCGATCTATCCACCCTTGTCTTCCTTGGTTTTCTTTTAATGTGATGTGGGTGACTGCCCAATGAGTAGTGAAACTAATACGCTGTATATTCATTATAATAACCATAATGTATTCGCCTGTAATCCTGTCCTAATTAGCTACCGGCACTTTGATTATTTTGAGAGAGAAAAAAACACTGAAATTAAGGGAAATAATGAATATGGCATAAGAGGTGTAGTAATATATTAAATTTTTACGTTACGAAAAACAGCATTTTTCCACTGTCCAGATCTTTTCGAAAAGCCATGCTGATATATTTGTTCAAATATCTCCGAGTTGTTCATTTGACTGATCTTAATCGTTTTACATATTGTGAAGGCACTTTATAAACAAAAAATAATCATTTGAGACCATCAGAAATATTAAATCCATTTTCCCCTCTGTGCTACACTGTGATCCACACAGCAGATGCTTAGCGCACCCATTTTTCTATTTAGGTCATATCATCGACACATATGCCCTATACAGGCTGCTAACTCCAACAGTTGTGGTCGGAAAAGCCCCTTCAAGGAAGCAGAGCCTCGATATTAACAGCTGATTGGCTCTTAAGGAAGGACCGCTGCTCAGGAAATCTGAATCACTCCACTGCCCTGAGCTTTGTATGCTCATCTACTTCATCATCCTCTCCTTGTAAAGGTGTTTCTGGTCTGGCCAATGGTGCGTACAGTTGTGCTATTGATGGAGGTTGTGTACCACTTAGCGATGGTGGTTGATAAGGACTCTCGTAATCCTTTTCTTTGAGCTCAGGGACAGGAAAAGTGTCCTTAGTGTCTTGGTGCAACTCCTCTGTAATCTGAGACGGGCCTAATACACGGCCCTGAGGCACACCGTGGCCACTGATAGAGGCAACATCAGGAGAAGTGGATACAGGGTTTAGTGGTGCGGCAGATGTTTTATTGGAAAGTATGTTGGGCTCTAAATGCCCAATGGCACTGTCCATCTGGCATTGTTCCAGGCTTTGTGTGGACCCCGATCTGCCCTCGTTCATTTGGGGATACAGGTAAGTCCTCATCTGCCCTTTCCCTTTTACGTTTACAGTGCCACGATAGTCAAAGGTATAGTTCATTCTGCTGAGCACACAGTGGCTCTCTTCGCTAACCTGTATGCGGCACTCCACTCCTGTGCTGTCCATGCGGCTAGCGATGTTGACCGTGTCGCCCCATATGTCGTAAAGCAGCTTGGTAGTGCCAATGACGCCGGCAGTCAGGGGCCCGTGGTTGAAGCCAATTCGCAGCTTGAACTTGAAACCCAACATGTTCTTGTTAAAATCGTCCACCACACGCATCATTTCAAGAGCGAAGTCAAAGAGGGCACGCAGGTGAGCGTGCGGGTGCACCTGCTCCTGGCACTGCTGCGCATTTAATCCAGATGCTGCCATGTAGGTCGCACCAATGGTTTTAATCTTCTCTACATTGGAGAAAGCAGGCTTGCGCAAGAGTTCGTCAAAGTCCCCGATGAGTTCGTTAAGTACTCGGTAGCACTCTTTCCCTCCCTCGTAGCTCTCTTCGTAGAACTCGCTAAAGTTGACAATACTTGCGAAGATGACCCCGACAATGTCGTGATTTTTAGAGTAACTCTGGTTCACCTTCAGCTGCTCGGAAACATGCATGGGGATGATGTTACGCAGCAGCCAGTCCGCTTGATCTCGCATGGTCTGAATCTTGATGCGATGCTTGTCGGCTTCCACATTACCATGGTAATGTAGGCGGTAGCTGACCTCGAATTCCCGGTTGAGGAACCAAACCAGCAGCAGCAGAAGGAAGAAGGAGAGCACGGTCTCGAGGACGAGCAGGTCGAGAGCTGTGGGCGCAGAGTCCAACTCACCTGTGTGATCTACTTCGACACTCTGGTTACTCGTGTTCCTGGAGCCAAGGGAAAGAGATTTTAGGTTTGATTAAGTGGTGTATCGAGTTCTACAGAATAACAACACAAACAATAAACAGATGCTCAAAAAAGCCCTTTCATTTGTAAGATGTTTTAAATCTACTTTCAGGCATTGGCTGCTAGAGATTTTTAGTTTTTGTAGCCATGTCTTTATCATATGGCATTTTAAATGTTAACCTTTGGGAATGCATGTTGCTGAGATTAAAGGCTGGAATACATTACACAACCTTTTGCCCCAATTTGCAGTCTTGGGGTGAGTCAACGCTTGCCAAAAGTCAGAGCAAGTCTGCAGATTTTTAGCAGTCAAAGCTGAAAGATTCGACAGAAAACCATGTAGTGTATGATGGGCACAGACTCAATTTTCTTTTAGCTTCAGACTATTATGTGATTTCATGTAGTTGGAGGATATCAAACAGGTTTGATGTTTTGAGCCGATTTTAGAACGCATATCGTTTTCACTTGTCACGTCTTCTAGCAATGAGACATGTTTCGGAGTGAGTTTTTTTTGCATTTAGAATGACTTGATAGTCAAGTGTGTGATCCTCAGTCGTTAAGTGTATTATAGACCTTATTCAGAGCAGCACCATGACAGGTATGAAAGCAAGGCTGTGAGGGATAGATTTACTGTGTTTTAAGTGTAAAAAGCTGTATAAAGCTCCTATAACTAATAATTTTCCACATCTCATATTTTCTGGAGTTTTTGGTCTACTGAAATTTCTTGGAAAAATATTTTTGCAGGGTTTGTCACCAGAACAATCCAAAAACACATGAAATAACAGTACAACCCACTGAAGAGATGCATGTCTATCCCTCAAAGCCTCGCTTTCATTCCTGTTAAAAATGGACAAAGATGGCTCTACTGTGAATAAGGTCTATGATGCCCAGCTTTTCCTCTTCAACCATTCATAGAGTTGACAAGTGTATGATGCCTAATGTTTTAAAAACCTTTTTAAGATTTTAAAAAGTCGTGTGTAGTATATTTCAGCCTTGAGGCAAGTTCACACCAAGAACGATAACAATAAAGATGATTGTAACGATAACTATATTAGCACCCATGCATGATAACATTCTGTTTAATACAAGCCTTTTTCACAGGAAGATCCAGTTGTGACACTGATAAAAAAAATCAAAACATTTTCTTTTCAGAAAAAGATCAAAAACAAGAATTTAGAAAACTGGATGAATTTCCATTTCATGTCAACTTTAAGGTTAATGGGGCCTTTTTAGTTTGAGTTATATTAATAGATTCATGTGATTAAAATTACTTCCTGCAGATGTAGCGTTTCAGTATTTATTTTTGTACAGGTAAGTGCATCATATTTGAGTATTATATCAACACACATTCATAAAAAAAAAAAAAAAATCATGATCTTCCACAAATGTCAGCTCAAATCAGAGTCAGCACAAGGAAGCAGTTACAGAAACACTCACCAAAACGCTGGAACAGTGTCAGTGGCCCTGCAAAAAAGAAAACCGTTATCATAAATCAGATTTCTCTACAGCAACTGTACAATCTGACAGTCACCGTACATGTCCACCGGAGTTAAGCAGGCGTTTTCAATACACTCTCTATGGAAGCTGAATGGCAGAAGTGTGTGAAGAATTGAGGGATTGACTGCAGAGAATTGAGACCATCAAAAAGTTGAAAAAGGACTTATTCACTATGTATTGAAAGCAATCATAGACCATAGGGAAAACACCCATACCGTTGAACATTTTACAGACATACCCATGTTGTTTTGGGTGGTATTGGGAATATTTCTTCAGCATCAGTGGACATGTACTATCATGAACGGTATATGTTTGTGTTTTGTTGACTCTCATGACTATGTTCTAAACCTATAATAGTTTTTATGTACTTAATTCAAATACTAAGTTGATATTGGTAAAAAGTTGAAGTGGTAACAAAAGCGGAGGATGTCTGACCTGGGGCTGGTGGTGGCGCTGTAGAGCAGGATAAGTAAAGACAAACCAGCAACAGTGGCCAAAACAGAGCGCATCCAGAAACTGAGCTGGCAGAAGTTACAGTACTGGATAATAGCAATAATGAGAGCACAGCACAGGAACATGGTCACCTACACAACCAGAAAAGGAAAGAGCGCAAGTTTAAACAGTGAACCAATCACATACACACATATTTACAAACCAGGGCTGTGGGATCGTCTGTGTACTTGGACCTGTTATGAACTTGTCAGCATACAGTATGTTCCATTATAAAAGCCTCAATGCATTGCATACTAATACGGTCACGTTAAAGCTTGATCCTGTAGTAGAGTAACAGCGTTCTCAACATCCTCAAAGCTTCAAAACTCTTCCTCTAATTACCCAAGGGATACACTTTGATCAAACAGGCTTCAAGAAACTGGGGAAAACTAATGGTAATGTTTACTTTGATTTGCATACAGCTTTTTGAAGAATAAAACTCTGCAAGGGATCTAGGGATGTCAGAACTACCAATTAGATACTAAAATAATAAAAAAACAAAGTTTTCATGTAATCGCTAAGAAGCCCCTTATTTAATTCCAATGTTTGTTTTAATGTTAACACTTTACAATAAGGTCTCATTTGTTAATATTAGTTAAAATATTAAATAACATGAACTAACCATGAGCAATATATTTGTTACAGTATTTATTAATCTTTGTTAATGTTAGTTAATAAAAATACAGATGTTCATTGTTTGTTCATGGGACTTCACAGTGCATTAACTCATTTTAACAAACTAATTTACATTTTAATAGTGTATTAGTAAATGATGAAATTAACATAACTAAGATTAATACATTCTGTAGAAGTATTGTTTATTGTTAGTTTACTATAGTTAACTAATGAAACCTTATTGTAAAGTGTTACCGTTTAATGTTATTTAACATTTAATACATTTAATAATATTCTAAATCTATTAAGTTATGAGTTTGATAAAAAAAGGCGATTTACATTTACATTAATTGCATTATGCTAGAGAACTTTAACTTCAAGTTGAGATTTGAGAAAGCAGTTTATATTCCATTGTTTTAATTTGTTAACCCTTTAAGACCGCCGGCGCTCCCGTTTGCGTGTGTCTGTTTAAAAGCCTATAGAAACTGAAACCAAATTGCTAGCTCAATCATTCTTTTTGCATACAAAACCAGAGATGTAACATGTTCAGATCAAGCCTCCAACATGCCCATGTTGCGTTGTTTTCACCCTCTAATCAGTCTGTACAAACTGCGTAATATGCGTTTACAAAAAAACAACACAAAAATGCATTGCACGTCTTTGCACACATGTTCTGTAGATCTGCGATTGATAGTTACGTCTTCCGATGGCTCATTGACGTATCACGTTCTGTGCACTATGACCCCCCCCGGGTGTGTCGCATATTGTGACGTCACAAGCTGCGTCATTTGACCATGCGTTTGACTCGCGTGATTTTTTTTCCCCAAACCACTTCAGCGGAAATCCCGCCCTGCAGCCGATTCTAAAGTTTTCATTGCTCATGTCAATCACTGTACAGATTGCCTACACCAAACACTGATCCCTAAACCTACCCGTCACTGTAACCTAAACCAATGAAATCGGCTGCAGGGCGGGATTTCCGCTAAAGTGGTTTGGGGGGGGGGGGAAATCACACGTTTGACTCCCATTTGCTATATGTTCCTTCTTATCGTTATTGTCTTTTTACCATTGCTTTATTTAATCATTTCTTTCTCCTTTAGACACTCACAAATACAAGCACATTCACACACACACACACACACACACACACACACACACACACACACACACACACACACACGCAACGTTATGTCTAAACGAAAGTACACGGACGCGGAGGTGTTGGAAATACATATTGCGTCCGATGACGATGAACTATACGTCTGCTCATCTATTTATTTTATATTTTAACCAATTCAATGTTCAATCAATATTCAAAAGCAAAATGTTATCTGTTTGACCACAAATGTAATTGAATATTTTACATGGCATTTCCCCTCCCTTTTTTTGAATGAGTGTAAAAATGAGTATCTTCAAAACTAATTTATGTAAACAGTTCAAATCAATTCTGTGTAGTTTTAAATTGTTTTATGCACGTTTTTCACATTGACAAGTTTGAGGTTGACATTTATCCATTTTTTGTATTGAATAAAATATGTAAAAAATAAATAATTAAAATTGTTTTTCTTTTTGTTTATTGCACTTTTGAGATATTTATCTAGTTACTATTGATTTTTTTACAAACATAGCCTTCAAATTGGGAGAGTAAGGATTATTTTGATGTATGGCATATGAAAATGCTCAAAAGAATGACAGCACAGCATGTAAAAATACAAAGATATACTCTGGTGGAATTGTTCTATGGCAGGTCATAAAGGGTTAAATGATTTCATTCACTTCTGATGTTTTGTGACTTCTGAGTCTGTAAGATTTTTAATATTTTTGAAAGAAGTCTCTTATGCTCTGCATTTATATGATCAAAAATACAGTGAAAATGATGAAATATTATTACTATTTAAAACAACTGTTTTCTATGTGAATATATTTTAAAATGTAATTTATTCCTGTGATGCAAAGCTGAATTTTCAGCATCATTACTCCAGTCTTCAGTGTCACATGATCCTTCAGAAATCATTCTAATATGATGATTTGCTGCTCAAGAAACATTTCTGATTATTATCAATGTTGAAATGTAATAAAAAATGTGATAGTTTTTTTCCAGGATAAATAGAAAGTTGAAAAGAACAGCATTTATTACAAATATAAAACGGATTAGGAGGGATGTTGAGGACGTCACCTGGATGGGCAGCTCCAGACTGCAAGCCCAAGTCAGGTGGGAGAAGACAGACACGGCAGGAAGTGAAACGAGCACAGCCCCGATCACATGACGTGGGATCCAGCCAGAGACCAGCTTCAACAGAGACCGGGTACAGTTCTGCACATCATCCAGGCAAAAGATCATACTGCCAGACAGGGTTAGAAAAGTTACACTGATATTAAAATTATGACCGATAAAGTGTGCATTGTTTTCAATTTATGTTTGATAACCGAAAAAAAAGACCAATATTGCAGTTCCACATCATTTTGTCTAAATAAATTCAAAATGATACACTAAAAACTAAAACCGTTTCAAATGCTTCAAATGAATTTAGGCATCACAACATTATAATGTCCAGTATGAAAAATGGATACTGATTTTGAGATTCGCTGAAGATTACATTTCACTTAAATTATTTTACACATGATGGAGCAACACATATGACATGTGGACAAAATATTTCTATATATTTAGGCCACGAATAAGCATTTGTTCCCCTTTTAAAAAAAAAAAATCATGGCCACATTGTAATAATTCATTCCCTTGTTTTGATTAAATCATAACTAGGGAAAGAGTTAGTACAAAGTGGCCCCAATTTAGTCAAACGAGGGAATGAGTTCTTAATTCGTGGCTACAATATATATTTTTCCTGCAAATAATAAACACTAATGATGTATTTATAAATTATTTAAATGATCAGTTTAATTATAATAAATTATAACTTAAAGTTGAAGTTAATTTTTAAAAACAAATAATTTAAGTGAGCGTGAAATGACAGTAAAGGAAATTTAATTGTAAAAACAAGGGAAATTAGCATTAATTAAAATCAACCAATAACCATTTGTATGATGAGTAAACAAACATACAGGTCCTTCTAAAAAAATTAGCATATTGTGATAAAGTTCATTATTTTCCATAATGTAATGATAAAAATGAAACTTTCATATATTTTAGATTCATTGCACACCAACTGAAATATTTCAGGTCTTTTATTGTTTTAATACTGATGATTTTGGCATACAGCTCATGAAAACCCAAAATTCCTATCTCAAAAAATTAGCATATCATGAAAAGGGTCTCTAAACGAGCTATTAACCTAATCATCTGAATCAACTTATTAACTCTAAACACCTGCAAAAGATTCCTGAGGCTATTATAACACCCAGCCTGTTTCATTACTCAAAACCGCAATCATGGGTAAGACTGCCGACCTGACTGCTGTCCAGAAGGCCATCATTGACACCCTCAAGCAAGAGGGTAAGACAGAAAGAAATTTCTGAACAAATAGGCCGTTCCCAGAGTGCTGTTTCAAGGCACCTCAGTGGGAAGTCTGTGGGAAGGAAAAAGTGTGGCAAAAAACGCTGCACAACGAGAAGAGGTGACCGGACCCTGAGGAAGATTGTGGAGAAGGACCGATTAATAGCTTGTTTAGAGAACCTTTTCATGATATGCTAATTTTTTGAGATAGGAATTTTGGGTTTTCATGAGCTGCATGCCAAAATCATCAGTATTAAAACAATAAAACACCTGAAATATTTCAGTTGGTGTGCAATAAATCTAAAATATATAAAAGTTTAATTTTTATCATTACATTATGGAAAATAATGAACTTTATCACAATATGCTAATTTTTTGAGAAGGACCTGTATGTGTTGTCATATGATTTCTGTATGATTGTTTTCATAATCTGTATGGGCTGTACATCAAACTCTCCATAATTTGACCCCTTTAAAATGTTTTCTATGTGTTGTTTTACAATTCAGTCCAACTTACCGAACGGACAAAATGAGAGAAACCAGTTCCAACAGAGCGGCAGTGATTGCCAGTCCGAGCGTGGTTGCCAGGGGTGTCTTCATGAAAACAAGGGGATACAGGAAGCAGGCGATGGTGAGGGCGAGAAAAACGGCACAAGACAGCAAAACATCAAGCAGAGAGCTGAAGACTGGACTCGCAAACGTCTGCACCGGCACGTGATTCACCACCTGGTGGAAACGCAGAGCAGAAGACATTCATATTTGGACACTGATTTGATGAGATTGCAGTACTCTGTATAACCAGAAGAGGTCTATGCATGACTGTTTTAAGATCTACATGTTTCTTTGGGTAGGAGAGTGTGTACCACTGTTTTATTATACCATCATTGAGATACTATTATAACTTTTATTAATATTTGAACAGACCCCTGGTTGAGGTAGTTAGTTAGTAGTGCGTTTAAACTCACGGTTATGGTAAGGGGCGTGACATTTCTCAAACGCGCCTGAACCGGTCAACCAATCCCAACACACGGTGCATCTGACCAATCAGGACACATTGTGCTTTTCGGAAGGAGGGGCGGAACTAAACTGAGGTGTGTTGCCAGGACAACAATGGAACTCGCTGGACCATATTATGAATGCATTGTTGGAGAAACTAACCAACTAGTCACGACGGTTTCCTAAAACTGTAGTAACATGGTCGCACCTGTCATTTGAACCACAAATCACACGCAGGTCGAGGAGCAATAACTTCAATAACTCTCTGCCTGTCAACATATGTATTTCTATACCTCCGCGCACCTGCTCGCGCAGACATCACTCGTCATCAGTGTGTTTCATGCTATGCAGAGTAAGACAGACGTCAGTCACCGAGACCCGCAACCAAAACAGCAGCCGCCTTTCACAGTTCCTCCTGAACCAAAACAACCAGCTTATGCTGCGTTCACAACATAACTACCGTAATTTGAAGGAGATGGAAACCCGTGACGTTATATTCGGAGCAGTTTGTGACAAGAATTTATGCGTTTCAATGGCAACACTATCAACGGTGAAATGAAACTGCAGCAGTCAGGTGGTACAGGTCAGAGCTCTTCAAGTTGTTTATGTTCATTATTATTGTAATGTAGTGATGTAGTACTCGAGTCCGGTCTCGAGACCGATTTCTGCTTTCTCGGACTCGTCTCGGACTTGTTCCTTCAAAGACTCGGTCTTGACTCGGACTCGGCATAGGCGGTCTCGTCCCCATCACTAGTTAAGACTGCTCCTCTAAACAATTCCCAATCTAGCTTAGTCTGTAGGCCTAACTGTTAAATAACTGGGGTGATATTAAATCATGAATATCAAAACTGACGTCGAGACAAAATCTCGACTCGGACTTGCTTCCTCAAAGACTCGGTCTTGACTCGGACTCGACTGTATTTGAAAAACAACGGACTCGTTCTCGACTCAGACTCGACCCTTCAAAGACTCGGTCTTGACTCGGACTCGACTGTATTTGAAAACCAATGGACTCGGTCTCGACTCGGACTCGACCCTTCAAAGACTCGGTCTTGACTCGGACTCGGCATAGGCGGTCTCGTCCCCATCACTATTGTAATGTTATGTGCTTTGAGACATTAGGTATTTTAAGAAGGCTTGTCTTTGGAGACGCTCTGAAGGGAGGGGGGCATTTTAATGCTTTCAAAGCTAACTTGCTATTGCTAGCTGCTCTGAAAATTGCCTTTAAGTCCACATGTCATTTTAACAAGAAGCTTCTAATCACAGCTTGACGACGCAAGTTTGCGATGCTGTTTGAGAATGTTCGTTGGAACAATGGTTTCAGGAAAGGCCTATGTTGGTAACAACGGAACTTGTGACCATAGTTGGCTAACGATGCTTTTGGGAAACACAGCCCGGAGCGTTACTGACAGACTGGGAAGAGAGGTGCTGCAACAATGCAAAATATGTGAAAATAATGTTTTGTGTGTATAATGTTATTATGTTAATAATGTTAACGTGAAAACCTATACTAGCAGACCCCAAAAACAAGACTTTGTAAAAGGGCATAATAGGTTCTCTTCAATCTATTTTATTTGAGGTTTTTTATGGTTTTAGTTAACTATAATAACCCTGGCGCGTACCTCCTCATGGTAGCTGGTGCGGTACGCTGACTCCAGGGGTTTTTCCAAGAAGTTCAAACTCAGCTTGTTGATGGGTGGCTTGAAGAAGTAATCCTTCATCAGACTAACACAAACATAATATGGAGAGAACAAGAACGAACGGAAATTAAACACTGAATTACAAAGGTACGATTCAAACAAATCTTCTCTCGCTCACCTGTCTTCCTTTATCACTTCCACAAACTGTGCGTCACTTTTCTCCCGAAAGTTTTTGGAGCGCAGCGGGAGGATCGCTGAGTGGTCCTTGCTGCCGCCTCCTTCTGCGGTCAGACTTCCAGCCCAGCTCCTGTCCTTCTCCTGCAGTTTGTCACACAGAGACGACTGGCTGACTCCCACACGCTCCTCGCACAGAGGACTCAACAGCCCGTTCAGGGTTTTAGGGCTACGGCCTGCAGGAAACTGTGCCAAAGAAACAGAACTTAAGAGTCGTTCTTTGGGAATCAGACTACAGTGGACCGGTTCTAAAAGATTCATTCGTTCAGGAATTTGACTACACTGGTCATAAGGTAGGTTCATCAAAATGAACCAGTTCAAAAGAGCCATTCATCGGGAATCAGTTCTACAGCAGATCACTAAAAAGAATCGGTTCAAAAGTGCCATTCATCCAAGAATTTGGACTGGATTGATGTTCAGAAATCAGTCCTAGTGCAGATCAATAAAAAGAACTTGCTCAAATGAGACATACGACCACTGATTCATTAAGAACCAGTTTGAAAGATTCATTTGTTCAGCAGTTGGACTGCACTGGCCATGCTGTAAGTTTAAGGTTGATTCCTCAAAAAAAAAAAAAAAATTTTTTTTTTAAAAGAGCCATTTGTCCAGGAATTGGTTCTAATACAGATCCCTAAAAAGAAGCAGCTCAAAATATTAACTAAAAGGAACCAGTTCGAAAGATTAATTTGTTAGGGTATTGGGCGGCAATGGTCGGGCTTCAAAAAAGCCAGTCATCAAGGAATTGGTTCTAATGCAGGTCAATAAAAAGAACCAGTTCAAAAGAGTCATACATTTGGGAAACGGACTACATTGGCCACATTTGTATGTTTTTGATTCACTAAAAAGTACCAGTCTGAAAGATTAATTTGTTCAGGAATCAGACTGCACTAGTCGAGCTGTAGATTTTTGACTGATCAAAAAGAAGAACCATTTGTCCAGGAATCAATTCTAATGTTGACTAAATGATTGAACTTTAGTAGTGTGTATGGAAAAGAGCAGCGCTTTTGCCACGTCATGTAAAAATGACGCCTTAAGACTCCTTAAGTTTATTTGGGACTAAAAGGTACATAAAACCTCTCAGCTTAGGTGTTATACTCCTAATTATATCAACTAAGATTGCACATTATATTGATTTACTCCGAACCAGCGAAGACTGGCATTTCTGCTTATGAACACCTGCTGAAATTGAGTACATTGGGTTCTTGCAACAAGGTGTGTTCTTCCATTGTGCAATTTACTGAGGTTTTGTTTATTGGTGTACCTACCTGTTAGTTTAGTTTCGTTACATACCTTGCTGCTGTTGGCTCTATGTTCATCCTGGCAGCCATTTCGAGTTGCCTCATCTGCTAGCGGATTGTCAACAGCATCTACAGAGATGCTACACACAGGCTGTGGAGGGTAAGAGACAAACAACAAAAAGAAAAACGAGGGTGAGTAAATAATGACAGATTTATTAGAACTATTCATTTAATATCATTTGTGTAATTAAAACAGCATTTCTGTGCGTGTTGAGGGACGTACCTTGCCCTGTGAGAGAGGTTCTGTGAGGGCGCTGTGTGAGAGATCTGGAGTGTGCGTGTTTGAGGATGGACTTAACATTTCGCCATAGTCCCGGCCCAAACTGAGCTGGAAACAGGCACACTGAGAGCCCATCTTCCGGCCCGAGATCAAATACGTCTTTAAACCTACAAACAAAAGAAAAATGCATTGAAATCCCTCATGTCAATTTCCTTTACATATTTCCCAGCAGTCCTTAGAAAGTTTTTCACAAATCTAGAAGCAGATTTGTTATTCCTTACAATCTCACATGATGTCATTACGATATTTAACTAACTACTGAATTGGTTCATGTAAAGCATCTAGCTTTAGGCTACACGACGAGTAATGATTTATTACTGTAAAATGAACTGTAATTAGATCATATTTCAGCAAATCTACTTTTCCTATGAGGGCAAACAAGGTCTGATCCCCAGCGGCTGATACTACGCAGACACACATCAAGAGCTTGAAAGCACCTGAGCACGTTTGTTTCAGCACTGGTGTTTACATTAAACACCACTAAGCACGAGGATGAGCGCTTCTGTTGTACCAACACTCACACACACTTCAGTGTCCGGAGGAGAAGCTCTGTTGCACCAATACAGGCAAAAGCAAACAGAACGAGATTACAGCAGGGCAGTATCAGCCTGTTCAAACAGAAGGCTTACAAGCTAACCGTGTTACACTCATGTATAATCTCCTAAAACACACACAGGCTAAGTGTCAGCGCTAACACTGCTGCAGGGAAATGTCTGTGCATATTTGTACGTAAACTACATTGTATAGCCACCAGGGACATTTTCTCAAAACGTCAGCCGAGCACCTCGAGCAGATTCTGTGAGACATGAAAGACACGTCTGAGAATAAACAGGTCTGTACTCTCTAACATAACTTACCCGAGCGTCCAGACTAACAACCCATCATAAAGATCAGCTCTTCTGTTTCTCATACACATCAACACAGTAGCATGCAATACTCTACAGGATTATGTGATAGGTCTAATTTTCTATTTTATTTCAATGTTGGCTTGGTTTCATAAAAAACTATATTAAAGGGGTGGTTCAGGATTTTGGACATCGGGCCTCATTTCCAAGTTAGCCTTAGTGTTATTTATCAGTGGAGACAGTTTACAAAAATTTTCATCCAGTCTTTCCAGTTGCATAGTTCGCCGGTGCTGGGCTAGCGCGAGTCAACGGTAACTGCTAGCCTGCCATTAAAAACAGTTTTACCCACTCCACAGTACACCAAAAGCAAATAAATTATAACGCCAGACTATCGATGTAAATGTCTGTTGAGAGAATAATGTTAAAAATCCAACTACTCTTGTATCTCAATGATCGCAATACATTTACAGGAACTAGTTTCTCAGCAGCGGCGGAATTTTACTTTGCTCCGGTTAGTAGTACTGCGCCGAAAAGTAAACACAGAACCGAAGTGCACTACAGTCGGGACTACCTGCACTACCTCTCTCTACCTCTCTCTCTCACTACCTCTCTCGGTTGCCTAGGTAACTACATATCACTCCGCCGCTGCTGTAGACTGTGCTAATAAATACAGGGAACGAAGTATAACTATTGCAATGCAATGAACGGGTAGTTTGATTTCTAACATTATTCTCTCAACAGACATGTACATCGATAGCCTGGTGTTATAATTTATTTGCTGTTGGTGTACTGTGGAGTGGGTAAAACTGTTTTTAATGGCAGGCTAGCAGTTACCGTTGACTCGCGCTAGCCTAGCACCGGCGAACTATGGAACTGGAAAGACTGGATGAAAATTTTTGTAAACTGTCTCCACTGATAAATAACACTAAGGCTAACTTGGAAATGAGGCCCAATGTCCAAAATCCTGAACCACCCCTTTAATGCTGACAGTTCATGACAAAGGAGTTAGTGGTATAAAAATCAGGGTTTTGATACTGTATTGAAAATATTTTGGAAGCTACTAGGGGTGTAACGACACCCTCATGTCACGATTCGATATCACGATACTGAACTCAGCATACAATATTATTGCGATACTCCAAGACATAGCCTATTGTAAAAGGTTAGCAAAAAAAATTTACTGTTGATTAAAATGTTGAATATGGTATTACATCGGGGGTGTAAATGAATGAATTCGGACCTGGTGCTGTTAGCCCAATGCACAGGACAATGGTGACATCAGAATAAGAATATTAATGATTCTGAAGCTGAAAATACAGAATTAATTTAGCCGAATATGCTTGCACTGTCACGGACTAGATATATTTAAAATAATTTAGGCCACCTTTTACAGGTAACAAAAGACATTTGGCATTATCAGGACCCACAAATATTCCCCCAATACATTATTATACATTATATTCAACATTATATATAGCAGTTTAATGTAGTGCTCACACTTAAACTCTGTAAACTAGGGGTTTTTTTCCCTCACACAGTAATTTTTATTTTAGGTGAACTACACACGATATTGTTGCAGTTTTGTATTACGATATATTGTTACAGCCCTATCAGCCCCCAACATGAATCTGTTCCGCTAAAGATTTATTTGATCATTTAATGCAGCGACACCTGCTATTCTGCAATACCCAGATTACCCACTGATAGCTGGCTGCTTTAAAACACTCCTGAGAGAGTGTTTGTGTAAGTGCAAAGATTTATTTTTACAACGCGTTTTTTGCAGCGTTGAGCTTTGTAGCCAATCACAGACTTATCTGTTGAGCACGTGAACGCAATGGCCAATCAGATGTGTTTAAGTTAGTCAGAATCCGCTCAAAACGGCAGTGTTTGTTCAGTGCAGGTTCTGCACGCTTGCGATTCCTTTCATTAGAACTAACAAATATAAACACGGTCAATAAGAGATTCATTGCACAGTGTACACAGCTTCATTGATCACAACGGGAGTTTTCGCAAGAGTGCAGCTGTGTACCTCGTGTTGAACTGAAGTAATTGATAGGCAGCTTTAGTGATTATAATGCTCGCTTACTTTATATAATATATATATTCATGCTGAATGAACACCTGATGATTGCAGATTGAATCTGTTGAAAATTAAAACATTTTCTACATAATGTGTTACTTCGTTGTTTATTTTATTACCAACTTTTTTTTTAAAATCAGGTCACTTGACTTTTTACATATAGTTCTAAGCACCTTGTTCTATGATCCTGCAGTGATTATTTTTTATTTAAAGAATAAATAGGATAAGTTAATATTACAAACAGTTTCTTTGCATTTATTTAGGATTTATTGTCAGTACAGGGCTCGCAGTTCTCATGGGTAGGGTACTTTGTACTGTGGATGACACTGTTCGTCTGCCACCACTGAAGACCATTTTTGACCCAGGAAAAACCCTGTAAGATGCAACTTTAGGATGTAGCAACTTGTCCTTCTCAAAAGTATGTACTTTCCCATCACGAGCACATAGCAAAAGTATGCAAACTGATATACAGCCAGACTGTTTCATGCTCAGCCACAACGAGCCACAAACACAGGCCCACTTCCAAACAAGCTTGGTGCCAAAGTACATACAGATCTGTACACATAAAATTGACAGTTGTTCAAACACAATGGGGCCGCAGAGGCCACATCAATGAGCCATTCACGAACATCAAGCCCCTTTTAGCCTCTTTGTGCCCAGAGACACAGATTAATGCAGACCTGAGCCACGATTCAGAACCGAGCTAATGAGCTTCTGGGTCAGAACCTGTCTGAGCTGGATGGCCATATGGGCCAAGAGATCCCAAGAGATCTGGACTCAAGGAAGTCATAAATAGTCCTTTAACCTCTCAAACATGGGAACTGAAAGCAGGCTGGGATCAGGGGATATTCGTGCAGTACACACAACCCCGGAGGCACTGCCTTCTTCCAGGGAACTGCCATAAAATAATTCAACATGGCTGGGAATCCCAGCCTGGGATTAAACCACAAGGTTCCCCCGGACTAGAATTTCCACTGATTTACATTAGCATATGCAGCCACAGATATACCGACACATGCGAACATTCATCTATAGTTCATTAGTAACAGTGCAGGAACAAAGTGGCACCTTCCAGTCATTGCTGCCCCTTGATGATAGTAGTATCCCCATTATATTTTGCCAAAAGTGCTTGTTGCTTTATTTACAGTATGCCTGGTTAGGACACACTGAGCTTTTATTTTTGTAGAAGTCATTTACAGATAGAGATCAGAAATATACAGTAGCACAAACAGCATTTTAGTCAGTAAGACGGTGACTGGCTTACTGACAAACATTAGTGGAATTCAGTGGGGGGAAAAAGCAAGCAGAACTAAAAGCAGGTGCTTTGCCTCAGAGTTGCAATATGCCATTTCCTCTCCAGCAGTATCTAATGCTTCAGGCATTTACAAGAGAAACTGTTTATTATAGGTGCAGTTGGGAACCTTATAAAGTAGCATCACAACTGACATCAATATCATAAGAAAACACAAGAAAATGCACGTTATACCAAGCAGAACTGACACATTGATTACTCACATGACTCAAAAGGATAAATGAAAGCATTTTTTCATTAGTAGTTGTGCACTGCAGCAAACGATGAACAACAACAGGGGAAGAAAAAAGATAAAATAAGATTTTAAATATTAATATAAAAGATCTGATAAAAAGCAGGTCATTGCACATCTACAGCTCATTTATCTGTTGGTGGTCATTGATCGTCGGAGGATGGACCATCTGCATGTAAGAGAGATGGAGAGAGCGAATTATCTCCTGATGGACTTTATTGATTGCCATTAACAGAGTGAAGAATCCACCCAGCATGCCTCAGCAAAGTTCTGCTTGGGATTTTGTATCTAAAACAAAAAGATGTAAAAGGGATTCACAGCCTTTTACTTTGTTCAATTGTAAATGGTAATATTGTTTATGTTGTGTGTGTGTATATATATACAGTATATATACACTCACCTAAAGGATTATTAGGAACACCTGTTCAATTTCTCATTAATGCAATTATCTAATCAACCAATCACATGGCAGTTGCTTCAATGCATTTAGGGGTGTGGTCCTGGTCAAGACAATCTCCTGAACTCCAAACTGAATGTCAGAATGGGAAAGAAAGGGGATTTAAGCAATTTTGAGCGTGGCATGGTTGTTGGTGCCAGACGGGCCGGTCTGAGTATTTCACAATCTGCTCAGTTACTGG